ACGCCCCGCCCCGGCCGCCCCCCGCGCGCCCATTGGCTGCCGGGAACAGGTGGCTGGGTCTTGGGGCCGCCTGGGGTTAGGAAAGGTTAGGGACTGCCCCCCGCGCAGGGTAAAGTGCCCCGGCCTCCCCACCCTTTTTTTTTTAGTCAGTTAATCCACCGACTGACTTTTGCTGCGCTGGAAGAAGGCTCTCCTGGGTTCGCCCAAGGAGGCCACGAGTGTCTCAGGGAAGGAGAGGAGCACGCTGTTTCTGACGAAGTAAATTAAAGAGTATTACGACTGTTGTTTTAAATTTACATTTAAGGATATAAGCATGCAAGGCGTGTGTACAGTCACACATTTAAATTCATCTATGTGCACTGACCCAGTCCCCTTATATTACAGTAAACGAAAGCATCTAAAGTTTAGGTAGCTGTTCAGAGCAACACCGGGATTGAGACTACAGAGGATTTAGCGTGGAATTCAGGTCCTCCGCTCCCCGCCGCGGTGCTGCGCTTTCCACCCACGAGCCTGTTAGGTGTTCTCTGGAATACTTATCGTTTCAAATAGTCGTTCGCCATGTGCCCCTGGCTTGAGAAATTCAATCATGAAAATAGAGACAAATGTGGGCCAGAAGAAAGAGAGGACTACAGTCAGTTTCTTCGCTTCTATTTCATGTATTTAAATTTTCGTTTCAGTTTGATTAGGATACATTTGTTAGAAAAGTAGTTCCCTAACAATGCAAAGTCTTTATTGCTATGGATGTGTGCTAAACAGAGAACTCAGTTTAACGTTTAAGTTCTTAGCAGGAGAGGGGGCAGAGAGATTTGAGTATTTCATTTTTGTACCTACAAAATAGATGTTTATTTTTAATGAGCTGTTTTTTTAATTCTGGTATCTCAAACTTGTTTTCCAAAGTTCGTTGATGGAAGGCACCGAATTGGATGGCATGGTGGGAAGATGTGTGCAGAGGGAATTGGGAGAACTGGGTTCTAGTCTCGACTCTGTTACAGCGTCTTCTGGAATGGCAATCTTCTAATTCTCATGGGAAGAACAATTGCGTTTATTGTCCCTAGCACACAGGGTCGTTGAGGGGCCAACGGGAGAGACGGTACATGCAGAATTTGGTGTGGCACTAGATATATATGAATACGAGATAATATTTTGCCAGCTTGAGACTTCCAAATGTGATGATAGGGTAAAAGGAGCCAGTAAGTCTAGGTTACATCTTAGCTCTGCTTCTAACCTGCTGTCTGATCTGGAACCAAATTCCTTCATCTTTCTAGTGAAGGCTTTAGGAAATCCCTAACATTTCTCAAATTTTGTGAAGTATCTTCTCCCAACAATTAAATGTGGTCACCTCTAAGGTCTAATTCTCTCAGTATACTTTGGGTAGATAGAGATGTAATCCTCCTCAATAAAGGAATTTCAGAGTCCAGTAAGTACACGTAATGAATGGTATTGACATTATACCATTTCTGTCTGAGATCTGAAGATTCCTCATGTCACTCATTAAAGACAATATTTTAATTTTGTAAGATGTAAGAATTGGGGGGTACCTGGAAATATGAGGTCGAGTCATCATTAAGTTTTACATAAAGAAAAACTCTTATTATAGCCATAAAATCCAGGGGAAAGTGGATAGAGCCACTCAAACCAGTCCTACTGTTACAATGGCAAATCGAAGCACTTTTCTCACCCCCTTTTCCTTTCTTATTTATTTGTTTAGTATTTATTTATTTTTGCTCTCGAAAAAATTCTATAACAATTTTTAGACTGACCATCGATTAGAAGCACAAGTCTTCCATACTGGTTCATTCATCTAATACTTGGCCAACTCTGCCAAGTATCAATGGTGATATCTGAGAACTCCTTGGTCTTTAATTGCTGCTTTTTTTTTTTTCCCCCAGATAAAATGGAATAAGCTGTGAACTCTTGGCTTCTTCTCCCTAATTGGCAATAGATTAGTTTTGGTGTGGTTGCATGTTTTCATTTCTCATGGATAGCTACCTAGGATTGGAATTCCTGTGTCACGTGTTAACTCTGTGTTTAACATTTGGAGGAACTGGCAAACAGTTTTCTAAAGTGGCTATACCAGTTTTACATTCCCATGAACAACATGTGAGGGTTCCAATTTTTCCACATCCTCACCAGCACTTGTATGTTCATCTTTTTTATTATATCCATCCTACTGGATGTGATATACAATGATATATCATTGTGGTTTTAATTTGCATTTCCCTAATGACTACCAATGCTGAGAATCTTTGCATATGCCTATTGGTCAACAGTACAACTATTTTGGGTCACCTCAGTCTTAGAAGAGGTACAAGATGAAATACCTTTATTTAGGGAGGAACTAATGCCCATTGACAGGGACTAACATTCTTCTTTCAAGTGAGGCAAAATTAATAGTTGTTTAAAAATATAAAAGGAGAATACTTCTTTAAATAGATTGTGTAGGACTCTAAGGTTAAAAACACCCTTCATCTTTAAAAAACGATGAAAGTTAACCTCAGAGTTAAATGATTGAGAGGAAATTTCTCTTTTAGAGTAGGTAAATAAGTAGCGAATACAGTTCACTATTAAAGAATTAAACAACGGGCTTGTCAGAGACATTATCACTGATACTCCCTTTTGGAGAAGGCTTTGAGACTTGCTTAGAAGTTAGTAGAAAATATAACAAATCTACTGTTTTGTAAAGGTAAAGTTATCATTTTAATATAAATAAATGCATATAGAGACAGTTTACAGAAAAAATAAAGTATATGTGTATATATGGGGGAGTCTATCATGTGGCCCTACCCTTAATAGCGCTCAATTAATATTTGCTGATTTAATTAATTTAAAAATCACTCTACCTCACAATAATAGCTGTTTACTGAGTGCTTATGGTGTGCCAGATACAAACTTCATACATGTTATCTCATTTACTCATCTACGAGGAAGTATTCTTAGAATAATCTCATGTAGATGAAGAACCTCAGCCTTAGAGAGGTTAAATAAATTGTCCAGAGTCAAACAGCTGCCAAGTAGCTGACAGAGCCAAATCCAAACCTAGATGTCTATGCCCTTAATTTCTACTTCTCTTGATTTTTCTCACAAATTCTCAAGGAAATATCTATTGCATAACGTAAGATATATATGTAGTCCAACTACTTCTAATATTAGATATACTTCTGTAAGCTTCATGTTGTGTCACATGCTCCCAGTATCCTTCAGGATACCTCTGAGTGTTCCAGGAGCTATTTATCAGATAATTGCCCTTATTAGGATAACACTGTACCTATAAGATCGTGTGATAATGAATCTTTGACAAATTGAACTTCTGTAGGACAGCTATAGTTGAATGTTGAAGATAGAAAAAGACCAGAATGTAGTATGTGAAGCCTCTAAATGAGCGCAGAAGTGACTTAGGCACTTTATTGATACCTCTACAGAACCAATAGAAGGGATTTTAGCATAGGGGTAGCTGTTGTCCATTCCTCCCCGCCCCGCCCCAACTACAGTTAAAGAACATCAGGAAGGGTCTATCTCATTGGGATGGTTCTGGAAAGAGACCACAAGTTCATCCCCACTTAAGTACAATCTTGAGACTTCTAGCAGGGGCTAAAAGCTCACCACTCTGCTGAAAAAGCTGTGCTTCACATTTCCTGCTAAGCTGGCACTTCCCTTTCCTAACCCAACAGACACCAGCAGTGGTTGTGCTGGCCAGGGGTGGGCCACATCTATTCAGCACCCAAGAGTGAGGAAGACATATTGGCCAATTCCAGAAATGATGCAGAAGTTAGTGAATCACCATCATTATGTTATATAATGTCAGTGCCACAGAGATTCCTTTGCCTATGAAAATTCTTGGTTTGGCAGGAAATATCCTTTAGATGCCTTAGTGGTGGGAAGGCAGCTCTCACTGAACTTTCTTCCTCGTCTCACTTATTCAGCCCTAATTCCTCTCCCAGTATTTTTTCAACCCTCTTCTTCAATCTGACCCCCTATATTCATATCTGGCTTAGATTCTCAAAAAAAAAAAATGCGATGAAATAAGAAACGATTGAAGAACCAACAACTAGAGAATGGTTAAGGAAATTACAACACATTCAGCAATTCCTATGTCATGCTATTAAGAGAAAAAGAACGGAATATGAAATTGCACTTATAGCATTCTCTCAACCATCTATGCATATAAAAGATTTGAAAGAAATTCACTAAAATTTTAATAGTGACTATCTTTGGATAAAGATATAATGATATTCTTTATATTCTTCTTACTGCTTTTCTGCAATTTGTGCAGTTTTCTATGAGCCATTATTACATTTATAATCTGAAAAAAGAAACATAAATGCCAATTTTTTTAAGAAGCAAAAGTTTCTGTGTATACCTAGAAAGAATTCTTTTATTGTCACAGATGTTTTCTTTCTCAGCTCTGCCCCAAGAATACTGTAGACATTGTTCTGGGAGAAAACCTCCCACAGCCACCTGGCTCCCCTCATGTCCACACACGTGGTGATCTGGCAGAATGGGGAGATAAGCGTGGGAAAGAAAGCACTTCTGTCTGTCGTGTGCTTTGCCCAGCTCTCACAGGTCTGTGCTTGCTATTTCAGCTCTTTCTGTCTCACTTGCTGCTGGTGAGGAATTTTCCAGAATTATCACTCCCAACAAAAGGCAAATCTTTAGGTGGGCCCTGGGAAATGGAGAATATCTGTATCCTTTTCCCATAATTCTACTTGGTTTGGGCAATATCCCAGGAGAAAGCACTTATCAGTGCCACCCCCAAGATCATTTAAGTGGCAAAACTCCTCCCTGTCCCCCTCCACCAGTCACATTCTCACTAAAGAAAAGTCTACTCAAATAGAAATATTCAGAATTTGCAAGCTTAGATCAAAGACAGAGCCAATTTTGGACTTTTGCTTAGAAATCCTAAATTGCTGTTTCTACTATACTGTTCAGAATTTAAAAGCAAAACTATATACTAAGACTGAAGATTGCAAGGTCTGAGCC